AGGTTTATTGAAATGGAAATTGATAAAAACTCTGAATACATGGACATTATTTAATGTTAACTATGTATCCCAGGGCTCTTTCAGACTGACATTCATACCATAATAAAGAAAAACTAAAAAATAAGTTCACTTAATAAAAGATTCAGAATTTTTTAAAATTGTGTCAGAAAAAATAGCACACTGAAAAACAAGTCCTACATAAAGATGGGACATCTATATTTACATAAAGTTTTAAGCATTATTTGTGTACAGTTTAATTATAAAATATCACAAATAATTAAAATCAAACTCTATTGTATGCGCCAGCGCATGTTGGAGTTAATCTGCAGAAAAGATAAAATTACATAAAGCATATACATGTTTCTACTTGTATAGTTCTATATACACACACATATATATATATATATATAGTTCTAAATCTGGTAACTATTACATTTCTATATAAACAAATTATTTACAACAGCTTACTTCTTAGTCTTTGCTAAGAAAGAGATTGGAACCATAAGAAAAAAATTATATCTGGTATTGAAGACAAAGTAATAATAATTGGCTGACCTATAACCTCTGCAATATTTTGATAATTTCATACATATTTCAGAAAGCTCTTGTGTATCATCGAACTTAATGTTTTTGGCTTTGATCCTGTGCTTTTGTCAGATATTCTCAATTCTAACCACCTGTTGTAGAGATAAGCAGGTTAAGAAGACCAGGTGTCAAGGCTTGTTAGAAAGTTGCATGTGGTTATTTCATAATTGCCAAAGCAGTTAAACAAAAACTGTCTAATTTTAAAATAACACAGTAAAGGTAGGAGAAAATTAAAAAAAAAAAAAAACATTAAAAAGGAATCAAAATAATATCTGATTTCTATTTTCATACAATAGTTTTGATTTGATGGTTACCTCCCTTAGATAAAGACTCTTTCTTTGTTGTCTCGATAACAACATACTGCAAAGATCCTTATTTTAGCAGTCTTATTCAGCACTATTCTTATTTTAGTGCTTTCCTCACTGGAAGCGTTTAGCTAAGATATGATCATGCTAATTGCAGCTCCTATATGCTGCTTATACAGTGATTATTGACGATGTGTGAATTTATCATTGAGCTAATGTAGCAAAGACGTGATAATGTCCTAAACGTTGACTTCGCCAACGGGAAGTATGTTTAATTATTTTGGCCTAGATCTTAACTAGAACCTAAATCAACTGATTAACTATTGTAATATAATTCAAATACAAAGAATCAACATTTCTCTTACCACGTTCAGTATAACTTTAAAAATACTTAGTCTACAATGTCCAACCAATTCTTTGGCTTGTACAATTGAAAGCTACATATGCACAAATACCTACTTTATACATCTACCCACCTAAACTGCCATATACGACTTTGGGACAAATAAGGGCAGTTTGATGATGGATCAGTATATATAACAATTGTTACAACCAAGTGTTGTGTCAAACAAGTGACCATAAATTGGACAAAAGTGAACATTATTTTTTAATACTTGTATATGAATGTGTTAAACATGGAAAAGAAACTAAAGGGAAGAAAACGACGAATAGACATTTATGTAAAAAGAAAAAAAAACATTATTGAGTGAAATCAAAGTAAAAATGAAAAACAGAATCATGGATAATATATAGAGAAGAATACTGGTCACATTGATGGAATCTAGATTTTGGATTTGCATTTTTCTCTATATTGGAAAACAAGCAGAAACTTGACTTGAAACTCATGCAAACATTATTTGAGGACCACTTTTCAACAGTAACAGTTATACATATAAACACACAGATGAAAGTAAAAAGAAGTTAAAGATTTGGCCCATTTTAAAAAGAAAATCACCACTAGTAATTTGACACAAAGAACATTTTCAAACTTTCATGTTTTTTCCATATTTTAAACTATTTTGCAAATCTATTTACAGCTCAGCAATATTGGTTGTTCTAAGGTTTGTAAATATTCATTATTCTACCCTTAAAATTACAAATGGATTCTGCATTTTTGGATAAAAAAGAGGACCTTAAATATGTCACTTTTCACAAAAAAAATAAATGCTGTTTTTACAATAAATGCGGAACTTAATATAAAAAAAAAAAACTATGAAGGAACCTTAACAACTAACCAACTGTGGAGTTGAAAGTTGAAATTTTTTAAAATTTAATGATATACAATTGTAAAATGTATCAATTTCAACAAGATTCAAAGGAATGTCAGCAAATCTGTGTTCGAAATGAAAGATAAATTAGGATATTGTTTATTTCAAGTTGTATTGTTTTCGAATCTTAACATAACTAAATCCCTGAAGATCAAAAAGCAGTAAAACAATAAAAATATGTATTTATAACGCTGAGATACCAGTAAATTTTACTCTGTTAAATTATACTACACAGGGTACTGCTGTAAGGAAGTGATGTTGGCATCAAGGCCCAGTACAATTAATTATTGGTTTTAACATATAAATTCCAAAACCTGCACTGATATTTAAAATGGCCGTTGCATGGGTCATAATTTGTTCAAAGTCTCTGTGGTTATATACCAAGACACAACCATTGATCAGTTACAAATTACCTTGTACCTGATGGATAACAGTTTACATTAGTGGAGCAGATCTCATACAAATGATAAAAAAATCCAGCAGATATTTAGCAACAATTTTAGAAAAATAAGTTTATATCTAAAACATATTCAGGTATGGAAAATTTGATTAAAAATACGATTCTTTTTTCTTGTTTTCAGTCATAGAAACAAAACAATATCGATTACAGTAAAGAATATATATCAAGTGTAGAATACTTTCTCTTTAAAAATCAAGGCCTAATATATTTGTGAGAAAATAACGTCAGCAAAACTATGGAAAATAATGTTAAATTATTCATAAACAATGTGTTTAATTTTGCAAGTAGCTAACAGATCTAATATTCCAAAATTAGTTTTGAATCTTTTACATACCACTAATTAATTGACCCACCTCACTGACAACTACTTGACAATCTTGTGAATTTTCTTGCCCATTCACTTTTAATTTTCTTTTCTCAAAACTGCTCTAATACTTTCCAGTTGGAAAATCCATCACAAAATTATTACTCTCTTTATAAACATTGGGTCCTAATCACTAGCAACACCCCTTCCCCAGAATTACAGAGAAACTAACTCCATTTGGCCCTTTGGTCACAGTTCCAGTCACAGGAAAAACTAATCTCTATTGGGTGGGCGTGATTGTGTGCTAAAGTTGATCTGTTATTCACATAATCTTACAGGTTTGGACCAGGTCCCCAAGGTAAAGGATTAGACCCTCTTGGCAAAGGCTAAACCAAAGAGAGAACGGCTAGGTTCCAAGCAGGCTTATCAAAGGTAGATGTGCTGGGTTCAAAACTCTTTTCAAATGGTTACACGTCATAGTTATGTACATACACATCAAGGCAACTATTAGTTCTAGAACTAATTGAGCTACACGTGCTTTAAACAAATATAAATAGTTTGGTCACGATATAACAAAACATTGTAACAATCTATATGTTAAGTCATTATTACCATAGAAGACAAATTGTCTCCCCAAACAATTTTAAATATCATGTACAGTTACAATGCAGAGTCTTATCTCACTAATATCACATTACATTCTTACTGTACATAGTAAATGAGGAAATTTTATACTAGGTGACTATTTACCAAAGTTCCATCTAGCTAAATTTAAATCCGTGGAGGATTTTACTGAAAGCAATGCGACTAATATACACACACATTTTGGTAAAGTGGAACTCCATTTTGATAATATCGGATATTATGATATCCAGCTTGTTTTGATATTTTGTATGATATTACTTATATAAATTAACAAATAAAGAAATATTTTTATTGTGATAGAGTCCAACAAGCTATTTCAGTTGTTCAAATAGTTTTTTCTGGGCTGTCCATAACTGATTTTCGTAAAATGTCCATATTTGTAAAATGTTAATTCTCAATTTGACACAGAAACCAATTGACATAACAAGAACAATATGATATGGATATTTCCAAATTCCATTTCATTTCAAAGTATGTAAATTTGTTTGCTTTCTGTGTTATACATCAAAAAACCGAAAATTTCTAAATCTTAGCACAGAAATAGGTTCTTCACCTAATCTATGAGGGTGAAAAATTTACTAGAAATATATTTTAAAGCAGTTTATACAAGTGTTTCTGAAACAGGGACACATAATATACATAGATTCCTGTTACGTAATCATATACAATCAAGATAATTCTATCTCAAAATTATCCGATACAAAAAAGAAATACATAAATTAGTTGGGTATTTGAATTTTCACAATTATACAAACACATTAACATATTTGACAAATTAAAAGCTAGATCAAACCTGAATACACATATACATGAAATTCAATTTCAAAAACTGCATCATATATAATTGATACAAGTCAACATATCAGTATGTGGAATTAACTCATCCCTGCTACACAAATTCTGTTGAATTATATGCATATTAATGATTTAAGATCCTTTTTGTTGAGCCATCAACAAACAAAGACAAACAGAATATTTTGCGATACCCGTTTCATATCAGTAACACACACTTCGGCAGCAACAACAAATTTACAATTACACAAAAGATTTCTTGATCTTGTTCAATATTATGTTAATTAATGTAGAGCAACCACAATTTTAAAGTGCTATGATGTATATAATGGATATCATGTAATGATATTTGCATTTGACAAAAAAGTCTGAAAACACACTGTTTAACCAGAGGAAGTTTCTCTAGATATTGTACGATCTTTCTCATGCCAAAATTACATCACAGGATTTGATTTGGGCAGAGATAATCCTGGATTAATGAAAAAAAATCTCCGTCTAGCAGAACAAGTTCTCCGTCTAATTCAATGATCACGGTTTTTTTTTACTTTTTACAAAAAATTATTTGTCATTTATTTAGCAAGTTAATTTTTTCATCAAATGAAATTATGAAAAAAATGAATTAAATACAATATCTATGGTGATAGCAAAGTTTTCTTTTCCTGATAAAAACATTCATGTGTTGATAAAAATATTCATGTGTTTCACAATTATGAAATTTAATATTATTCGTGTCACTAATATGACTGTAGTCAAACTGCTGAGGTTTCATGCATATCTCACCACTGTTTTCCATTTCTGGAATCTACCTTAAGACATAACAACATTTCTCTTACATAAACTTTGTGTTACCGATAAATTAGTCATTTAATAATAGGATATAACATGCTCTACAATTACTTAATGGAACTAATTTAAAAAGCAATCATATATGAAATTGTGGATCCTTTTGTTTTTTCTGAAAAGTGCGGAGTGTGAAATGGATGTGCTTGAAAATGATTTTCAGGTTGAATTTATATTCAGTCTTCGGTAAAATGTAAATAAACAATGAATTAGACTAGGGGCTTAGCCCTAGAATCATAAAACTAAATATGACACCAGAAATTACACCAGCTCCATCTCGCCAGAGGGAATCACATTAGCATCCTCAACAGGTTTCTTTTCCTGTTGCTGGTGAGAAATAGTTTTGATGCGTTCACTGTCTGTGACATTGGCAACGGAAATCACGCGATTATATGCCTTCCACTTCTGGCAAAGTCGTCCATACATTTTACACTGTACATACATGAAAACGAGGCCACCTGTAAAACCAATGGCCACCACAATAAGTTTGGTCCAGAATGGCCAGTCCAGTGCCCCAGCCTCCACTTCCTCTGTCGTCCGGTCTATGAGCACATAGAGTGACCAGATGACACATGTAATCGCAACCACATGGAATGTGACAGAACAGGTAATTTTTCTCCGCTCCACTGTTGACATGTGGAGTCTTTCCCACTGAAAAAAAAAAGAAACAACTGGATTTATATCATCAATCTAAATTTTGAAGCATGGAAGTGTGAAAAAAGCATTTCGCATTGCAACTCAAAAATAAAATAATGTCTATAACTGAATTAACATCTTTCACATGAGGAAATTTAGATTTAATAACACAAAAAATTATTTAAGTCGAGAATTCAACTTTGATCCATTTTCATGACAGAATATGACAGAAAGAATTAACAAAAAGATACCAAAAATTCATCGAAAAAGAAAATATACAAAACAATATGGGATGTGAAATTTTGGACACTCACTTGTATAAAGGGTTTGACCTTTGAAGTCATTTTGTATTCGTATTTGCAGAGTTCGCAAGATGTTTTGTCGGAACTCTTTATCCATTTCTGTAAGCAAGCCTGGTGGACAAATTTCATACTGCCAGAGCAAAGACATGGTGCCACAAGCGGGGAATCTTCTTCCTGATCCAAAATGTCACACTGACAGATCCGACACAAGTCTCCGCCTGATGACATCATTGACAGCTGGGTTTCACATCGCTCCGACAGTTTCGGAGTCGGAGATTCTAAGTGGTGGGTTTCCTGTCAGATGAAAATTATGAACAACATCAGAAAAACGTTTGAGTTGGTATTTTGGTACTTAAAGTCTAATTACAACATTCATAGAATAAACTCATCAATTCAACTTTCAAATTGAAATTGTGTCATTTAGTGATACAGGAGCATACACACAAATTCTCAGCTAAAATGCTGAAATGAAGACTTAAGGACCAGAACACTTCTACAGACAACTCTCCAGGAGTGTCTCAGGATGACGAGTAGATCACCTCTTGCAAGGAAAAAAACTTTGTGTAGCTAATCAGGTATCATGAATGTTTAAAGCAGCTATATTTTGTCATAGTACAATACATTGGTATGTTTTGTTGGGTTAATTGCCAAGGTCAAGTTGAGGTGGAGTTTCCTTGTAGTAGCTGTGGCTGCCTCATTGAACAATATACGGAAGGCCACTGCATCCAAAACAATAAGGGTGAAGTGATCTGCACAATGACACAAACATGTCAACACAGAGAGATCTTTTTCTCAACTTCCCAAGAAACAAATACTGCTATGGGTTGGGAATTTGTACCATGCCCCTCAGTTCATACTACGCCTCTAAGTTCATACCACACCCCTCAGTGTGTACCACACCCATCAGTTTGTACCACACCCCTCAGTTTGTACCACACCCCTCAGTTTGTACCACGCCCCTCAGTTTGTACCACGCCCCTCAGTTTGTACCACACCCATCAGTTTGTACCACACCCTACCACACCCCTCAGTTTGTACCACGCCTCTCAGTTTGTACCACACCCCTCAGTTTGTACCACACCCTTCAGTTTGTACCATGCCCCTCAGTTTGTACCACGCCCCTCAGTTTGTACCACACCCTTCAGTTTGTACCACACCCCTCAGTTTGTATCATGCCCCTCAGTTTGTACCACACCCCTCAGTTTGTACCACACCCCTCAGTTTGTACCACGCCCCTCAGTTTGTACCACACCCCTCAGTTTGTACCACACCCCTCAGTTTGTACCACACCCCTCAGTTTGTACCACACCCCTCAGTTTGTACCACACCCCTCAGTTTGTACCACGCCCCTCAGTTTGTACCACATCCCTCAGTTTGTACCACATCCTTCAGTTTGTATCACACGCCTCAGTTTGTATCACGCCCTTCAGTTTGTACCACATCCCTCAGTTTGTACCACACCCCTCAGTTTGTACCACGCCCCTCAGTTTGTACCACATCCCTCAGTTCTTCACTCCTGAGATTATGTAACCACATAAGAATAAAATCATTAAAACGATCATATATCTCAATAAACCTCACTGTAAAACACACAAACAAACAACAGCTAGAAAGACAATTTATTGTAAAATTACTAAAGATAACTGTTGTTAACCAACAAATTAATTCATGACAAAGTGGGAGAAGAGATATTTTAAAAGTGAAATGATCAGAGAGTATCTCTGGCCATGGAGGTGAGATTTTTGAAAGTCTGAGCTAATATCACTGTGTATCTATCTGGCTTGGGTTAGACATTCATGGATAAACCCTTGAGTTTAGATATCTCTGCCATACCTTCATAGTAGAGAAAGTTTTTGTAGAAATCTTTCTGGGAAAAACAATATCATTTAATGTCCAAAAAACTCATGAATAACACATGGTGTATTTAACACGCAGATGTTAAACTTTACAACTTTTAATTTCTGGTATTTATCAGTGTCCGTTAGAGTGAAACTGTTTTTTTTTGTTTTCGTTTTTGTTTTCTTTTTAATTATTGTTTTACTTCTTCAAATATGTTTCAGAATATGCACATATCCTTTTATTTCATTTAAATTATCCAACATTGAAAATTCACAAAATTGATTGGATTATGGGCTGGCACTCCTCCTTGGTTTTATTACGGTATTTTACAGATGTTTTGGGTGATTTTGACATTTTGAAAAGGGACTTCTAGACTTGCACAACTTTGACCCCAGAAAACATTACCTATGAGTATAAGAATTAAGAATGAATTTCTAACAATGTAGATTAAGTCATTATACAAACAATGCAAGCTATGCTTCTATTATTCAATAAGAATTGAAAGGTGTGTGTCTCATATACAATTCTTGTTGACAAGGTAGAAGTCTACCAGGGACATTTAGATGCGAGAAAACACAAAATATGAATAAAATGAAGTACATATACCTGTGAATGATTCTCTTTATCTCATTTTTAATGTAACCCACATTAATTAGAAAAGTATCTGTCAGTAATACAATTTTTAATTACTTGAGATATTGTGTAATTATTAATGAACAATTCTATGATTACCATACATTAATATATATATATACATCATCTAGCCAAAAAATATACAAAAATCAAGTGTTTTCAAATAAACTAAATATTGGACATACATAATTCATTATGTTTATAGTGCCATAAAAAATCTTATAATTTTGTGGAAAATGTAGTTATGACTTCATCAGAGAGTTATGCCTACAGGAAAGAAATAACAAATTTTTTCCTGGGATTAAATTACCGATACATTATAATACCTGTATCCTGCTAAGTAATAGTAACCAAACAAAGTTGACAATAGTTTGTACTATAACGAGGGAAAAAAACAGGAAGTACCTTTAATAGTTTACCTCTATAGGCTACACCAATACAGCCGCTACTTGTAAACAAATTACAAACACGTCAATCCTTACAGGTATACACACATCCCCTTTATAATGTCACCCTGAACATGCTTTTACTTAATGTAGCATGAATAGGATTGATGTTTTCATGGCAGAAATGACTTGAACTTTATATACTGGAGTCCCTATACTGATGTTTGTTTTACTTATAGCTGGGTATGACCAAGCAGATAAACAACGGACAAACACAGATATACACTTCTTTTGTCAACTGGTGTTTTTACATGGATCAAAGCAAAAAATGCAAAATTATTTTTAAAATTACTTGGTATTAAAACTTTAAATTCCAGCAGAGTTACTCCCCTTGAATGGAGACTCATTTAATAAGTTATTTGATGCATGATCAATTCCCAAATTAATTCTTACATGAATTGAGAATCTCTTAAAAAGGAAATATTAGCCATGGTATAAAAATAGTAAAAGCATAGAATTGTTAATAAATTGTACAAGGTTTCATAAAAAAAAATGGATAGTATTACTAGACAATGAAGTCGATCATACACCCACGTAAAATGATATAACCAGTGAAAGTGTCAAAATATAATATATTACAGATTCAATACCTTCCAAATACTAAGGAAATGTGTGAAGTGTTCTTGTTTAAAAATGTGCAGCACTTTCAGAGAAGTAGTTTAAAGTTTTATCCACAGACAGATACAGTTTTTTTTTTGTTTTTGTTTTTGTTTTTTTTTTTTTTTTGGGGGGGGGGGGGGAAGGTGTGTTATTTCACCATTATTAAACAAAACTGATATTAAAACCATATTTTGTATTGATTGTAAGATATTTAAGATAAAGTATCATACAAGCTTTGTTATGTATGAAAGTATTTCAATAATTCTGAATTGTTGAAAGTATCTAAATAAATATGAAAACTCATAATTGGTTTTCACGAACTCTAATAAAGTTGTAAATTAATTTCCCATTGATCAGACTGTAATAGACAGACGCAATATCAATTTCAAACATGTCTTCAAAATTATGTACCCTGGTTTTCAGCGATATGTATTTACTATGAATTAAACACTTTACACAAAAGGTATATATTTCACCGACCTGTATCTGCAACGGCTGCACATCGTTTTGACGAGACCGCTCCGAGAAAACCAAAACATTTGTAAGTTGTTCATTCCAGAACATTGCATACTTCATCATTTTTACCTTGTATCAGACTGTATATCCAGAAACAAACTTTCTGTAGTATAATCAACCACACTCCAGCATGGAATGTTTGATGAGTAAGCAATTTAATGCAGGCAGGTCCTTTGTAAGTCAATCACAGTATGAATCAATTAAAATTTTGAAAAAATTGAAAATCTAAAAAACTTCAAAAAGACTAATTAAGTACTGATTGACCACAATCAAAATATTCAAATCCAAAAAATATTGTAACAAATTAAATGTATATAAATTCTGAATTAAATATTGACAGCGCACTAACAAGGAATATATCTCTTACAAGTAGAATGTTCCACATAGTTCGGTTGCTATCAACTTAGCCTGTTTTATACTTCCTATGGTCGTATCATGGAATGTCTCTTTTACATAGGAAATCTGCAGCTGGCAGTTTGCCAAAGTTATAAAATATTTATAAAAATTTATATCATTTCAAAATATACAACACATTTTGTACCTATTCCCAATCAAACTACTTTATTTTGCAAATGCCACTGATCCCTTAGGTCAAGTATACAACTCCACCGTTGAGACAATTTACTGAGCAGAGATAAGTCAGGTCAGTTAAAAACTTGACCACTATATTTTACACATGGAAACAGAGATAAAATATGAAGATTTGAAATTTTTACGATTTAACGATGACAAACAGCAACAATTTCACTTTTTCTTCAATCAGAAATATCTCTTCTTTCATCTTGTATGATACTTTATAATTTATATTTATGAATGAAGACCCTCCCTTAATTTAAAGAGTGAATTTACTGCCTGTCTAGATAAAGCAGTGCAGAGACATCTGTAATGTTTTATTATCAGCTTTCCTGATAGTCTACTGCAGTATTATTTACTTAACAAATTTTTAACTTTTTTTTTACTGAAAAAAATTAAAGCATAGTAATTTCATCTAGAAATTTAATACTTTTTTAAACACATTAATTTAGTACAATCAAATTTGAGCATATAATCACTTCCTGACAACATAGGTGCACTGATGATTTGTGTATCCTAAATAACTGCTATTAAAACAATATATAAAAATTGCAATCAATTAGTGTAATCATATTTTAGAGCAGTACCTTCTGTACAAATGAAAACCATGAAAATATCATCACCACTGAAATTTGTATGTTTACAGTAGTCAGATGATAATAAACATTTTTTATTACTAAAAATAAC